CGATGGCTACCGAGAGGATAAACGCATCTCCAATGACATCGGCGAACAGATCGACCGCTTTGTTCTCGGGAAGTGGCCTGAATTTGCGTCTCCAGATGTTTTGAAACGGCATGCTCTTCTTGGGGAGTTCGGGAGCCTGCTTTTGTTTGAGCTGATCGTCTCGTTTCTGCTGCTCTTCGGTCTTGACCGTTGGTGCTTCGGCCTTTTCTTTTGCTCTTCGTTCAGCGTCTGGGTTCCGTAACAATGCGACTGACATCCTCATGTTCAATTGATGCATGTGTTGTCCGTATCGGGCTGCGAATGCTCTGAACCGGGGGTGATCGTGTGCCTGCGCTTTGATGTGATTCTGAGGAGCTATCAGTGCCTGGCCTAGTTGCGACAGGGGATATTTCGTACGGCGCCATATTTTGAGACATGCCTCACAAGCAGAGACGCAAGCTTGAATAGCGGAAGAGGAACCATGAGTGCTGGTGGTCTAGGAACTCTTAGCTCCAGTGTTGAGAGCTGCTTGCCAAGTAGATTGGATATTTGATCGCTGGTGGAGCTTCTGCGGTGGAGAGTCAATTGAAGCTCGAATGGCGATGCCACGTCAACAAAGTGCACAATACAGAAGAGACCGACTCGTTTATACGGCAAGGGCAGATCTGATTCGAAGGCTCACTGATGATATCAAAAGCAAGTACGTCATTCTAGGTAGTTAATTAGATATTTCGAGGACCTACTGGTAGAATCGATGCCGTCTCTTCCGGAGCCGTGATATTCCGTGCTGACATACAAGAAGCTTAGATACCTTAGTAGATAGACCAGGGGTGAGATGCTTATAGAGCTCTGATTGGTTACTTAACTCATTCCCCATTTACACAGAGTGATATTACCTAGGTACTGTCTTGATTGAATTGACATTCACTGACAACAGTATTTCCTGCTTACGATCACATGGACAGGGAGATCCTCTTTTACTTTTAGGCAAGTTGCAATAAAAAAGTTATCCTCCGTACCTCGGCTTCTCAGTACGAAGCCAGAGGTATTGACAGCCCCCGTGTCATCGACTGGTGATATAAAGCTCACTCTCTAGGCAAGAAGGGAGCCTTTACATGAAATATGTCGGCGGCTGTGTTGAAGATGATATACGCTGAGATTTGGGCCAGCTCAATTATCGTGCTGTCCATCTCTGTTGGTCGCTCTTCCTTCACTAAGGCACTACCTACCACCTTGGGCAAGTGCCTAGGTAGGTAGGTACCACTCAGCTGCCTCGCCTGCCTTCCCTAGGATATGTCTTCGATACCTCCCGTCGATGTGATAAATTCGTACCCTACCTAGTAGGTTTCTACCAGACTTCATTGGCAGGCACCACGGCTAAATGCATCCACATCCTCAATAAACCATTCTGGGGCCCGCGTGAACTTCTGAACAGTCATTCCTTTTGGAGACTTGCACCTCAAACTTGACTGATCATGTTTTGTTCATCCTTACGGAAGCGAAAAGAATGGGCTCTGGCGGTTCATTCGCTAACATCAAGCTCGTCAACATGGAAAGGTTAGTTATCGATATGACCTGTTTGCTGTAAGGTATTATCACACACGCACTCACACTAGCGTCCCTAGAAAGTAACCTGGAGGCTTGTGATATCACATTTCCGGTGCCTGTTTCCAACAGCCCATCCGCTGCCTTCAGAGTGATTGTCTCGTCATTGTCTGAACTGCAGTCTTCTGGGGAAAAGGCGCGAGTGGCAAGACTGTCGCTAATGAACGGGGGAGAGCATATCGCTGTGATATTGCTTTTGGATGGTCACAAGCCCATGGAGTCTTTCTCTCGGCTGCAAATTGAGTACACATTCACACCACTGGCTTCCCTATCACATATTGACTTACTCTGCAGGATGGTGTGCTCAGGTTGTCTCATCCCCATGATCCCCATCTCCACGACCCAAGATTTTGCCGACTGCCTTGAATCTCTCAGGCGGGATTGCATTAGGAAGAATCGCGCTGCCAATACTGGGCAACAGGCAACTAATGGCAACTTGGTATGCTGGTGCGTCGAAGGCAAACCTCTTTCAAGAGACCAAGTCAACGTTCTGACCGGAATCACATCCGGGTTCAGGGGCTTCGCAAACCTCTACTCCAGCCCAGGCGGCCAAGCTACAATCTGCGAATACCTTGGAAGTAGCGATGGTGAACGAGTCGTCTCGTTTCTTTCCAATGGCCCGCCGCACGTCCGCGAGCAACCAGGACTAACAGATGCACGCAATGTGTGATAAGCCAGATAGTTGGTCCCGTTTCCGAGATACTAGGCGGCAACGACGAGTCTGCTTGCCAGAGACCTGGAATGCGTTATGTACAATGGCATGACAATGGTTCAGTGCAGAATAAGATCTTGCAAGGGATGTCGTTTAGATCGATCATCCGCCCAGTATTCTGGGTCACACACAGCCTGTGATGCAGGGCGGTGTTGCTAGAATCATGACAGGCATCTTGGCAAAAGTACAGGGATGAGCGATAATACATGCAAGCTTAATGTAGTGCATATTCGACCGCTCTCGCTCGTAACTATTTCGAAAGGAGCTATAGCGAAAACAAGCTACTGAATCTCTATGTCTGTGTCGCTGAACTCGTTCGCCGTTGTTGAGACAGGGTAGTCTGCTAGGTAATACATGTAGGTGATAGACCAAGTATTCACCGGGCAACTGAGTGATGCAGATGCGGCTGACCTGGCTGGTGGAAGCTGAACCAATTAGAGCGATACTGCAACCGCCGGGCTACTAGGTCGGCGACAGTGCGAATCGGGCTCACTATGCTCATGGCAGGCCTCAGGCTTAATTATCGCGCACTATCGGATGAGCCGATACCTTCGCTTGCATGTTTGGGGGCAAGTCACAGCTCGTGGTCTTGGTCGATACGGTGAGGGGAAAATGGCCAAGCCGCAGCTCGCTCTGTGAGGTGGTATGAGAAGAGTGATAACCGGCACTAGCTCGAGATGATGGTCAAGAAACCAAGAGCAGAAGTGGTGCTATCCACATCAGATGATGGATGGTAATAAGAGCTGTTGGACGCGCCCTGATCGGTCCCGAGAAATAGGTTAAGGAAGCGGATCGCAACCGCTTGATCCATAGATTCGGGATCTCTCTGAACACATGAAGCAATCATGTTTCGAGAAGCGCTTTAATATGGGGGCGCAATGTCTCATCAGTTGTTTAATGACAACCAACATGCTTTTGACGATAACCAACACCAGATCTTCCCCAGATCCTCTTCACCCAACAACTGCTCGACAGGGCAAGTTGCCACAATGAGCGTGACGAGTGGCACAAAGCATCGTGGTATAAAAAAAGAACACCACATGCAGCGTTTAAGTGAACAGGGATTAAAAAGAAGTGGTGGGCGGGAGAGGGGCCAGGGGTCAGGGGTCCGACAGCAAGTCAAAACACCGCAACGTCGGCTGTCCCAGCATCTGCCTCATGTGGTATCCTCCTATGTCTCATGAGAGAGGCTCGAGTTAAAACAAGAAATTGGCTACTGATGGCTGTCGACTGAGAGATAGGTGGAAGAGTCTCTTGTTGTGTTGAAGCTCATCTAAGAGAACGATGAAGTGATTGAATGCTCTTGGCTCTTCTCAAAGTTGAGTTGTTTAACTGGTTGTCCAGGGCTTCCTTCTAGCTTGATGCGACATCACTCAATCCCTGCCACATCTCTCTCTACCCGCTTCCCATCTTCTCCCACATGGCCGCTAAGCACGCTCATTGGCTTGTGCTCTGCATCTAACCGCCGAGGTCATCACCAATTACCAGCCCTTCACACCACTGCGACACATGAGTTTATCGATGTTTGACCACACCAGCCGTGGTGACAGCCAATCATGGCACCTCAGAGCTGCTTGCACCCGCTCTAGCTCCAAGATGATGGATGTCGGTCTGTGTGACGAGCCGCTGCATCGCATAACTTTCACATCCTAGCTCTCTTCTCCCCGCCTTTCCACTTTCCATCGCACCGCCGGTCTTCAGGCGCTTCTATATCGTGAGGCGAATACGTGAAAGTGAAAGATGGCCCCGAGAAATGGCGTGGCTCGTGGCCCGACGGTCCATGTAGACCCTGGTTCATTTGTACATGAATGCATTGCATTGGCCTAGATTTTCATACCAAGAAAGAGGCGCATTTTGGCTGTCGTGGTTCTTTTCTTGGCCTTTTCTTAAAAGTCTCAGGCTGCCCTCCACTGCAACTTGCAGCCTCCCTCCCTCCCCCCCAATCCCTGGTCCATCTTGAAATCTGTGTCTCTTGTAACGTCTCAGAGGACTCCTGAGTATCACCTCGCCTGGTCATACAATCTTGCGACTACAATAACTTCGGGAAAGGAAGAAGCCGCTCTTGGATGAGACAGAGTCAGCCTTGCAATACCGCCACCGTCTCTCCCCAAGATAACCATACCGACAATTCTATACAATGTCGCGCGTGTGCTTGCCACGATTATAGACCATAAAGTCGAGTGCGTGGATCTGCCAACCAACTTCCGCGACATCATCGGCTTCATAATCGTCCTTAAACCGTTCGCCCGACGCCAACGTCTCAAACCTCGAGCATCCGCTCTATCCTTATCCACCTCGCTCTCGGCTCAGCCTCAACCGTCGGGATCGACGACCTTAACACATTGGCTTATCCTTCAAGGGTCTCATCTCTTCCTTGATATCATCCGCCACTCGCCCGCTGTTCTTCTTCTTCTCTCACCATTCGCTTCTTTCTGTCTGCTGGCCTGACAGAGTTACTGTTCGTTTTAATACTTTCGTTTTTGTCTTCTCGCCCGCTCTTTTATACCATATCGCCGCTGGCCGGTCTGTCTGTAATATCACACCGAAAAAGGACTATTGGCAGCAGTGTTTGGGTACTATACGAATAGACGACAACTTCAACGAGGGAAAACGAGACTGGTTATTATCCGCAAGGAAAAGGAAACGTTTTGGGAACGAGCGAAGGGCAACTTAATCTGGGCTTGACAATCAACATTCATTCATCATGGGAAAGCTCATCAAGAATCACTGGGCCCGTCTCATCATCTTGAGCGCCGCAGCTTGTAAGTTGACCATGGCTAGAACCGGTCGTTTCTTTACTTACGCTACCTTGCAGATCAGATTGTGGCTGCCATAGAGTGTTTCTTTTGGCCTAAGATCTTCTGGGACTTCCTTACGCGCACCCTAGATGGTGCAGTAAGACCGGTGCCAGCTTTACAGATAATAAATCTCCTCTTGGGGATTGCCATGCTAGCTCTCGAATGGCCCCTTAACTTCGTGGCCGGCTCAGCTCTCCACCGCTCGCTAGAATTCCGACTTGCCATCCTTCCTCTCACGGCACTCAGTGCTGCTCTTATCTACCAAGGCACAAACGCCGCTATCTACTACCTCATCGGCATGGTCGTATACTTCTGGGGTTACAGCGAAGGCGAGGTTAGTGGCAACTGCAAGCCTTGAGAAATCTACCTGTGACTAACACTGAATTTCTAGATGATCTGCGCAAAACCCTGGACTCTTCCTAATCGTGGGCGCAGCGGCGGCGTTACGCGTGCATAGTCGCAGCTTGCTATGATGGATGTATAATACCAAAAAATACAGAACGGGTTATAGCTTGACTTCTTAAAAGAACGCCATCTCTAACCTCGAATTTTACAAAGAGACACTGTTACACATATACCCCTTTGCGGCGTTTGGCGATTTTTCATGATATACGACAATCAGTACTGCGTGTGTACGACTCATCCTGCACCAAGGAGGTTTCACTTCTAGCATTGTGTTTGCGTTTGTTCTTGGATTTTCCATTTGCATGATCAGCGTGGAGGTCTTGGTAGACGAGGATACCATTGGAGAGGGTTATACTGTTTACAGCCGTCTCCAGAGGAACGTCATGCAACCAGGAGACAAGGAACTGGCCGAGTTGTGCAGCCTTCACGGGTCTGAGGACTTCCGGTGAGAGTCTGCCACAATCCCTGAAGCCAAAGCACCCGCAATATAGATCTAATACTACCAAAATGTCTTCAACTGTTCCATGTATGTTTCTGTTGTTGCTTCCTTGGATACCTACATGCAAGTTTGTTGAGCCAAGCCGGAAGGGCAATTCAGCTTCGTGATTCAAAACATAGTAGAAACAACTAAGAGTCCTCTAAATATGTCGAAACCGGATCTGTTTGTGGATTTTGCCAAGTGGTGGTATTGGCTGATGCTTCGAAACACTCCTTTTCTAATAGCGTTCTTTTGGATCATAAATCAGCTACATATACCTTAGGTTCCCATGTGAAAACCACAGCATATGGACATGGAGTATGGCCCAAGCTTATAGAATGAACAAATGAATGAATATATATACATGCACACATAAAGGTAACATTTTCATTGCTGTGTTAATGCCAGAGAGAATTGGAGGCCAGTTAAATTTAGAGCAAGTAGTGCAAGTGGGAGACGATAAAACAAGGTAGCCTGATGCGTTTTAAATCACAGCTAATGGAATGGTTTTATTCGGTGATCAGTAGGGCAAACAACTTAATTATGTGCGATATTACTAAATTGACCTGCGATCCAAGCATCGATGTAGTCAAGGACAGGCAAGAAAGCTGATGAACTTCATCCGACGTGGTGAAAAGACTTATATAAATTTAGTATAATTTATTAGATCTTTAGACCTATCAAAATTTACAAGTCTTATTACCCAGCGAGTAAAGTGAAGTAAAGAGTGTGCGACTAATCATTTCCGCTGTTTTCTTAAGTATCACAAAGTGCTACAAGTCGACATTAATTTCAAGATCACCAAACTCCGGGCAATGTGCGTCTAGATTATATCGCGACATAAACGCATTGCAATTCCCAAGGCTGGTTGTATTTCATGAAGCACTATCATAAAATGCCCATCTCTCAGAGCATCAGACGCTGGCTGATTCATTCAGCTGTCAACACGATCGTGGTTCAAGCCAACTAACTGCCTGGTGACAACTTTATCAACTATTTCAGACGAATCTTAGTCGTTCACCGATAGTACCGTTCACTCCAATTCAACATAAGCCCTTTCCTAGCAATTGCATGCCCAAAAGAATATGGCGGATCCCCCAAACGCCTGCTGTCTGGTACGTCGTGTAGAATGTTGTTTCTTCTAGTGGGAGATCATAGGACCCTTGCTGTCGTTCTTGGGACCTTGACGCTCGGGGAACTGTACGGCCATGTTAGTCACGCGGCTAGGCAGGAATGTCTCACAACAAGGTCCTTACGTCTACGGTCTGAGTATCGCCCTTCTCGAGGATCTGCTTGATGACATCATCGTCGACAGAGGTACCAAACTCGTTCTCAAGAGCGGCCTTTGAAGCAGCATCGAGACTTCCCTGAACTCCTTGGCTGTTAAAATGTTAGCGTATGTGTTACAGAACTGGAATTGTTTTGGTGATGGCTGGCAGAGGGAGGCTGAAGCCATGGTCAAGTGCTACATATCTGACAGGCCAATTCTGCACAGACTACAGTAGAGTACATGATGCAGGGCTTCCATTTCCATGCTAGCCACGAGATTGAAGGTAAAAGGGGAGTTACAAAGCGGGGGTGGCTTGACTTACTTGTGTGTCAGGAAGATCTTGAAGGAAGAAATGAAGTGAGCAAGAGGAATGCTCTTGTCGCTCTTCCACTTCTGGTAGGTCTCAACATCATCGATGAAGATGATGAAGTCGTCGCTGCCCTTGTAGTGGACCTTGGTCTGCTGGGTCTCTCCGCGAGCCATTGTGATTGTTTATTGAGTAAGGGAAGTGGTTGTGGTTGTATTGGTGATGAAGAGTCGTCAAACGATTAGAGTGAGAAGTCGCTGGGTGGATTTGTTGATAACCTAGCTGTTGATCGAAGGATGAAGATGAAGGTAAGGAGAAGAAAAGAAAAGGAGTCGAGGAAGGGTGGTGCATCCAGAGGCTTAAAAGGAAGCTCAATGTGAGGAGCAGTGACGAATGTACCTACCTAGCTTGCTGGCTGGAAGCTACCTTACCTACGTCATACGTCATAGCTGTGCTCTTCCAAAGGCGGGCAAGTGGATCGGTACGTACTGCATCGCGGGGCTCTTCAGGCCCTCGGGCGGAACAGGCTCCACTATAGCTTGCCGTGAACATCGACGCAGCCAATGAAGCGGCAAATCCCCGTTTGCTTGCCAGGCTCGAAGTTGCTCGTCTTGCTTCTGCTGTACACGTTCCTGCATGCTTACATCCACCGGGTACGTCACCGTATTTTGAGCACGAGGAAGCAAAAGAATAAGGTACCCTGAATAGTATCCAAGCTTGTGTGCCTCATGGGCTGCCATGTTAATCGATCGCGTGCTCCTCACGCCAGCCTGCAACGATTTCCTTGTAAGGGATTGGCCAAGTTGCAGCGGATCCCATGTTGTTCTCCCGTCTTCCACGTCAGTAACAAATCATCTTCTTTGTCATTGCCTTGGCAAACCATAAAATGCTTGATCCTGTGAATGCTGTTCTGGCCTGTTTCTCTTTACGGGGAATTTGCTTGATGCATGAGGTGATGCCGAGGATCCAACTTCATGATATATGCATTGTTCATTGAGGCATGGTTGTGACATCCCATGAAACTCGAGAAAACTGATGGTTTGAAACCAAACAATTAATATTAGGCAAGAATCCCCTAGCCTTAAAGCGCTATTCAGAAACCACCGAGTTAAACTACATAAGCTTATCAAAGTAATGTAACGATCGACTAGTAGGACATCAGTACCTGAAACTACCTTATCAGGTTGTGTTAGTGATGCTAATAATAAAATCCAATGCCTACATACCTACGTAGCATGTAGTTTCCCATCATCTTTGAACTGATAATGCAGCACAGCTTTACTAGAGATGTATCAAGCCTCATAGCCAACTAGTGCTCTCATAACAGTTTCTCACCGAAAGAATCTGCGAATGCCAGTGCACTTCTTTTCGTTTTTTGAGCCTTTCTCTTTCCCCCATAGAACATCTGTGCTCTGCACGGCGGTGGCATTAGCCAAGCGAGACAGGTTCTCCTTCGCAACAGAGTGCGTTGCTGTTCTAGAACCATTTTGTGGAGAATTGATCTGGAGCCTGTTTGTCATACAGTCTTGTAGAGCGGGTGTGTTTTCTGCCTCGCTTTGCAGCTGCTTGTCTGACATAATCTCAATCAAATTGAGAGGTTCGAGTTCAGATATCTGAGTGAGCTCCAGCCTCGGAGACATGTCCGATACATGATCATCCTCCTCACTTAGCTCTCGAGTCTCTGGGAGCGCTGAGCCTTTACTTGTGTACGAGTGTGAGCTCTCCTCACGACCAGCCTTGTCAAAGATGTCAAAACCACTATCACTTGAAAAACTTGTCTGGCGGATCTGGTCTTCACTCGATGGGTCCTCGATCGTTCTGCGTGACAAGCTTCCCGACCTCTTCGTTATGCTGGATACACAACTTTCTCATCACGGTTGATGCTGACCTCCTGATCATCTGCTCATTCCGTGCAATGTTCGTCATGCTAGGAAGGGGAAGAACATCTTGACTCCAGACGTCTGAGAGAAGCACCTCCAGCCGCGCTCTTTCACTACGAGATGGAACCAGGACTGGCGTTCTGACTTTTGTTGATAACAAAGACTGTGAACGATGGAGGCCAGCTCCAGAGCCAATACCACTGCTAGATTTCATGGTACTTGTATTCTTGAGAATGACATGGCACAGGGATGACTCCGGGCTTCCCACAGATGCCTGATGCGTCGACAGACTCCTCGCGATACTTCCTACCGATGTTCAGTATGACCTGGCCATTTCATTAGTTGGGAAGTGCAAGCATACCAGGCCGTCCAAACACAGTGCCTAGACTTTGGATGTCAAGAGAGAGAAATATTTGCAGACCAGGAGATCTACCAACTGGCTCTAGACACAGTGGTTGCTGCAACCGGGTTCGCCATTCGTTCTCCTCTCTTGACGTACATGCCGTCATTACCACCTCGTAAAGTTGATGGTCGCTCTCGAAAACAAGCTTCCAAGAGAAGGGAGCTAGGTGGCATTGCAAGCCTACAAGATATGTTAGTTCAAGTCTCGGTTCTATATGGCATACCTTACCGCGCCCATTGTCAGCATCTTCAACCGCTGAACAATGTACATCGATACAGGCCATAATCGTGTAGATAGGATCAAACTTTCCCCCAGAGGCCAGACAGAGGACGTCTTTATAGAGTAAGCAGATCATGTACTGACCGTCAACGCCGGCCGGCGATTGCCAGCATACATGCAAGACTCCACATAACTGAATGTGACCAAACGAACGAACCTGATTTTTCGAATGCGCATCGAGTCTCTCGTATATAGTTAGCAAAGATTCAATAAGGAAATACATGTGAAAGAATACCCTGTTTGGAAACACGATACGATCCTGCAATAGCCAGGTCTTTTCAAGTATGCCTTTCATCAAATCATCCTCAGTTGAGCGATTTATCTCAGCTGTGGCCTCTCGGAGCCTCATTAGTGTAGTTTCAACTTCCATGTGAGAGTTTGGACAGTCGATGACTGGGGTGCACCTTAGTAGCTCTGCAAACAAAAGGGGGTATTTGCAAATTCTTTGAATAGGCTGACGCTGACATGTTAGACAGTGAAGCATATATGATCAGAGGAGCATACCTTAACAAGAAGATCACCTATGGTCAGAGCCTTTCTGCTATCGGACGATGGTGATGGCTCCATGGTGAACGCGAAAGCCTCAAGCCCTTTCTGATGTAACTCCCATTCGGGGAGATTTTCTAGAGCTGAAGTGGCGTCTTTGATCATCATCTCATACTTTGCACCATATTCCTGATATATGAAGAACCGATGCATCTGAATGCGGAATGTTAGCAACTCTCAGGCATTGAACTGCAAGACGGCAGCTTACCCTCTTACTGAAAATCTTGGCCGCATCTGCTGCTACCTGAGGCTCAGACAATACACCAGGCTCCTTTTCTAGCAACTGGAGGCTGCCTTGATCCCCTGAGACCATATCTAAACTTGACCATCGGCGGTGTCCAGTTTTGGGATTGTTTGATTTCGAGGAGGATGCGATAAGATGATCAGCTTGGCTGTACTCAGAGTCCGGAATTACCCTATGTAGTTCGCCGATTATTTCTTCATGGAGTTGAAGGATTTGATCAAGATTATGGTTGATAGACGAGCGTAGCCGCTCAGGTAAAGTTGGGAGAGCAGCGAGGAGGTTGATGTAGGTCTATTTGCTGTCAGTTGGCTTAAGAGTAGTGCTGGTCTGAGCTCACATGAATAAGGAAACGAATGTCACCAATGTAGCTCTCCTCTGTACTGATGAGCTCCTCGATAATCTGCCGGCGCCGAAGAGAACGCTGGACGGCAGCAATATCAATGCTGACCTTTTCGAACGGAATACTGTCCTCGGAAAACCTCGGGGCAGACAGAGAAGCTCGACTGCTTCGCTCAGTCCGCGACCGGCAATTTGAAAGGCGATGATGCCGGTGCGAGCGCGAGATGGCACTGGCACTAGCAATGCTTATACTTGCACTTTGGACTGCTTCGATGAAACCCAGCGAAGACCCAGAAGACGAGAGCCGGCGACTGAGTCTGCGGCGAACTGATCGCTGATGAGTTCCACTGCACTCGAGATTTTCCCATCCAGTATCTGGGGACCAAACATTTCCGTAGTCTCTTTGACTCACTCGGCGATGCAATGATTTCATCCACCTTGAGAAGGGCCTCCGAAGCTTGGCATTCTCAGCGAAAGATTCGCTGGAGGGGACCTCTTGAATAGTTTCGACTTGTATCTGCGGACAAGAAGGTCTCGCGCGCGTGGTAGTTGCTCTTTCGGAACTCGCGTGCTGGGTGGTACAATTCAAGGTTGTAAAGGTATTGATATCTTCAAGACGAAGTTCTTCCAATCTCGAGGGCAAGTGAAGGTCATATAATCTGCGGAGGCTGTCGTGGGAATCAAATCGTGATATAAACGGAAAGCCGGTTGTCCAACTGAAATGCCTTGAACTAGGGATGCTACGAGAAACATCGGGCAAGGCTGAAGGGTTCACAAGAGCCATGGTGAAAAGAGAACGTCGAGGTAAAGTTCAAGAAATTAACAAAGTGCTGGTTCCAAGAAAACCCAACTACACAAAAAAAGCGGCTTCAGACGAGTTGTCCAAACATGGCTGTGATGATGAATGAGGAGGAGGAAGATGTCATGAATGGGATAGACCAAACATCAAAGTAGAGCTCACAGCACCAGAACTCACAGAGAGAAAGGCTGGGAAACTTGCAGGAGGTCACAATCTATGGGAGTGCCTGCCTTACCTGAGTACCTACATACTTACCTAAGGTATTATCCATGGCACAGGCAGGAAGGTGCAGACCGAGAGATGCAGTATCTCGGGACATTCCTTCCTGGATGGCGTATCAGGAGAAGTCATGCAAGAGTGATGAGCAATCCTGCAGGTAGAAGTCACCCAGAAATGTGCCCCAAACCGAGAAAAAGAAGATCCTGCCCATCCAGTCAGGTAGTCTTGTCTGGCCACATTGGCTCGACTGAGATTCAACACCCATGATTCTCGGCTGTGGGATCGTATAGCCGATGAGGATGAGCCAGAGTATCACGGCTGAGAAGTGGTGATACAAAGAGGCGTCTGCATGGCCATTGGTGCAGGGCCCAAGCTGGAAGCACCGAAGACGGGAATATTGATGCCCGAGTCCAGGAGCTGTGATGCAACGAGACCAAAAGGTCAATCGACGCAAGCCTCAAGATCAGAATATACTTTGAATTAATGATAAGCCAAAAGGTTCCCACGTTATTTGAAGCCGACCTCGTCACTTGCAGCCACGAGATATTATGAGTTCACGGCTGGCTGCACACTCATAACATTGACGGTCAAGGCCGAGGCAATCAGTCTAATAATCTCATGGTTCTTTTGATGTGGCGGCGACATTCTCAGAGATCCGCGGCTTGTTCATATACAAGAGGTTGGGGAGGCTGAAAGAATCTTTGTTCGTGGCTTGATGGATGGACAGTGCATGACAGTAGGATTGAGAAGTCTGAAGAGCTCAACTTCTTACCACGAGGTCAGCAAAAGAGACATGGCTGTTTTAGGATTACTTTTAAGTGTTTATTATTGAGGTTCCTAAACAGCAGGTGATATGTGTTGTATTGTGTTTATGATTTAGGAATTTGCCAGTTGTTGGTCATGGATCACAACCCAATAACGCACTGCGGTATCCACGTAACAGCCGAAGTGAATGATTTCCTTTCTAGGAGAGGAAAGAAAACTCAAGACCTTTACCCTAATAAGCGATTAAAAATGCTTCGATAAATCTAGCCTAAGCTTAGGGGACACTGTGCTCAGTTCATTTTGACACCCTATATCAAAGTGTGGTGTCTTGCTCCCTAAGGGACTTTCAATGAAATTTAGTAGCCTGGTTGTCTGATGTGGAGAAACCGTGTCTGACATCATGTTTAAGGCCGATACCTGGCGGAAATAAAATATCATATTCAAGATTAAGCACATTAGGTGACATTGGTGTTTTATACCAAACATCTATATCTGGAGAGTAGTAAACTGGTCATTAGGTATCTAAGCAATCCCCATACAGTAGTTTATGCTTCATTTGAAAAAAAAAAAAAAAAAGCATCCCGAGAGTTTCCTTGACAGAAGCCATCTACTACACAGACCTAGACAGACCCGAGCATGATGTCTTGTTGCACCACGCACAGTAGAGGCTGTCATGACCACCAACTTTTCTCAGCCAAGCCCTATCCCGAGTCAGTCGGCGATACCGAGCCGGGATGGAATGGGTTTGACCTGAGAAGCTTACGAGTATCACATATCTTCGTGGATAGATATGTAGTGGTCTCCACCGACCCTCTGACTTATCCATACTTACCTTCAACTTCGATTGGTGAGAGCGGCTTATTCGGCAATCGACAACTTGGCATATATGCTCGGCAAGTAAAGACTCAACTTGTATCTTGTCGTGATGTAAGGTGTAAGCTAACTGGCTCGGCATCGTGGCGGTGCTCACAGAGCTAGACCCAACTAAGGTAAAATCGAGCTGGGGTTTCACGGCGGGAGAACAGTCTTTGAATCGGTTTTCAGGGGACTGGTGCCTGGTTTTCAGGAGGGTTTACAGTGGCCCTCCCAGATTGTGGGGATGCGCTACTGTCACGCTAGAAGACTGGAGAGACATGCCGACTGCCCGAGACGGAAACGAACACGTTGAGCTTTTCGACCATGGAGAAGCGCCTTGACTTGAGAATTTCCAACGATAGATGGAAGCAGAAAAGTTGACAGTCTCGCGACTCAGATTCTGTCTAGTTTTAGTATCACTTAGTCCGATGAAGGAGGTTTCACAGCAGACTCCACCATTAGTCAGAATAAAATCCTATACCGCAAGGTTGGAGGTTGCCACGTGCGTGGGCCCTTTCATCGCCTTGCCTCTCTAGTCTTGACAAATCTACCTAACTGTACGGAGTAAACTGTTCCATGACAGGATTGGAAACCGGCGATTACTATAGTTTATTGCCTCCGTGTCTTTTATCTTTCTCTCCTACACTTTCTTTTTCATCCAGGTTCTAGTACACGTGTTGTCATTTTCTTTCTCACATCTACATTACCCTCCTTTCCTTGCTTCAGGGTTAACGAGACACTTTCTCTCTCTCTTTCGCAAGTCGTCTCGCTGTCAACTTCTCGGTTTACAAACTTGATTCAGCGTCGTTCCGAGCGCTCGCGTTGCGCATCGCCTTCACCATGGAGAGCGCGTTCGCGAAACCAGTTGGCGATGTCCTCGCCAACTTCAACGTCAACGAGGCTACAGGCTTGAGCGACTCTCAGGTCACCGAGCTACGCAACAAACATGGGCGCAACTGTACGTCAGATACGCTCCGTAACCCCACCATGTTTTTCAACAGTCTAACTTCTGGTAGCTATTCCTGAGGAGCCTCCTACTCCTCTGTGGGAGCTTATCCTAGAGCAATTCAAGGACCAGCTAGTTCTTATCCTTCTTGGTTCCGCCGCTGTCTCATTCGTTCTGGCACTTTTCGACGATGAAGAAGGCTGGAGTGCTTTCGTCGACCCAGTTGTTGTAAGTGCAAACTCGCTCTTCGATCCTGTCTGTTTCTCTTGTTGAGCAAACCATTGACATGCCTCCCATAGATTCTCACCATTCTCATTCTCAACGGTGTCGTCGGAGTCTCCCAGGAGAGCAGCGCCGAGAAGGCCATCGCCGCCTTACAGGAATACTCAGCCAACGAAGCAAATGTGGTGCGAAATGGTGGTCATGTTTCACGAGTCAAGGCCGAAGAGCTAGTCCCCGGCGACATCGTCACAGTCTCTATTGGTGATCGTATTCCTGCCGATTGTCGAGTTATCTCTATCGAAAGCAACAGTTTCTCTGTCGACCAGGCAGTTCTCACTGGAGAGAGCGAGAGCGTCGGCAAACGCGCCTCTACCGTTATCGAAGACGAGAAAGCTGTTCTACAGGACCAGACCAACATGTTGTTCTCTGGAACAACTGTTGTAACTGGTCGCGCCCGAGCAATTGTTGTTCTCACAGGCCCTAACACCGCTATCGGAGATATCCACGAAAGCATTACTGCCCAGATCTCGGAACCCACGCCCCTGAAGCAAAAGCTCAACGACTTCGGCGACAGTCTAGCCAAGGTTATTACTGTCATTTGCATCCTGGTTTGGCTCATCAACATTCCCAACTTCAATGATCCTAGTCACGGCAACTGGACCAAGGGCGCCATTTACTACCTTAAGATTGCCGTCTCCCTTGGTGTTGCTGCGATCCCTGAGGGTCTGGCTGTTGTCATCACTACCTGCTTGGCTCTTGGAACGAGAAAGATGGCTGCTAAGAACGCTGTCGTCCGAAGCCTCCCTTCTGTTGAGACCCTTGGGAGCTGCAGCGTCATCTGCTCTGACAAGACTGGTACTCTGACCACCAACCAGATGAGCGTTAGCAAGGTTCTGCATCTCAACGAAGATGGCACTGGTCTAGACGAGCTCGATGTTGAGGGCACTACCTTCGCACCTCGCGGAGCCATCAAATCAAACGGTGTTGTCGTTCAGGACCTCCCCAACTCTTCTGCTACTATCCGCCAAATGACACAGGTAGCTGCCATTTGCAATGACGCCCAGCTTGCCTATGATTCTCGATCTGCCACTTTCTCCAGCATTGGTGAACCAACTGAGGGTGCTCTTCGAGTCTTGGTTGAGAAGATTGGACCTTGTGCCCCTACCGATACCCGCCCTGAAGATTGTGTTCATTATGCCAGTGCAGCTTACCAGAAGGAACTGCCTCGCCTAGCTACGTACGAGTTCTCTCGGGATCGCAAGAGCATGTCTGTCTTGGTTGGTAAGGGTAATGATAAGAAACTCCTGGTCAAGGGCGCTCCCGAATCCGTTATCGATCGCTGCACACAAACTCTCGTTGGCTCCAATGGCAAGAAGGTTGCACTCACCAAGAAGATTGCAGACCGCCTCATGAACGAGATTGTACGATATGGCAACAACGGTCTTCGAGTCATCGCTCTCGCCAGCATCGACAAGGTGGCTGAGAGCCCTCTTCTGCACACTGCTTCTTCTACCGAACAATATGCCCAGCTTGAACAGAACATGACTTTCCTTGGCCTCGTCTGCATGCTTGATCCTCCCAGAGAGGAGGTTCCCGGGGCTGTACAGAAGTGCAGGGATGCTGGTATCCGTGTCATCGTCATCACTGGAGACAATCGTAACACTGCTGAAAGCATTTGCCGCCAGATTGGTGTTTTTGGTCAGCATGAAGATCTTACTGGAAAGAGCTACACCGGCCGCGAGTTTGACCAGTTGTCCCCTAGCGAGCAACTTGAAGCAGCTAAGCGTGCCTCTCTGTTCTCCCGCGTTGAACCCAGCCACAAATCTCGACTGGTCGACCTACTTCAATCTCTTGGTGAGGTTGTTGCTATGACTGGTGATGGTGTCAACGATGCCCCTGCCCTGAAGAAGGCCGATATCGGTGTTGCGATGGGCTCGGGAACTGATGTCTCCAAGCTAGCTGCTGACATGGTTCTTGC